CCAGACTTAGATGTAGCCAAATTGGTGACTAGTCAAAAACCTGCTCAGAGGTCTCAGAAGAATTCAATGAACAGGGATCATACAGCAACACACTATTCCTCCAGCTGGAATACTAAACCAGGCAAGTGAAAAAAAGCTGATGTTCTACTCCTTGGTCCACTGAAATGTTTTTAAGGTGTTATCACATATCTGAAATTTAAACAGCCTGGCTTTTTTTCTCTTGTTTTCTCTTAATTATTAATGTATGGATCTGTAATAGATACTTTTATATATCCAGATATATCAATGCAATCAATTTACATTGCTACATACAAAGTTCCGTATTTTGAAAGCATGGTCAATCTTCAGGGACAGTCGGTTTTCAAATTTCCAAAGTTTTCAGTACTTAAAATATCATTAAAAAATCCTGCTTTCCTGGCTATAGCCCCTTCTGATGCAATGTGAATAGGTAGGTGAAATAAGCAGGGTTTGACCCAATGGTAGTATCTACTGGTATTAGTAATTAAGGACACAATGATGATTAAAATACATTTACAATTTGGTATAATAAGAAAGAAAAGACAATTCAATGCTGTATGTTCAGGTTCTCAAATTGCTAATTTGTTGAAAACAAGCAGGCTGAAGTCCTGTCAACAAGCACTTATGCTAGGCTAATGGCTTTATTCATTTTTATCCACATATAGCAAATAATTCTGTTGATATGAACAGTTGGGCTTCCATTCATTAAACTAGATTTCTAGATAAAACAAAGGGAGATCAATGTTCATTTCCTACAGAGAATTTTCTCATTCTTAGAAATCTATCCAGTTGCAGAGAGTGTGTGTGTGCATGTGTGTGTGTGTGTGTGTGTGTTTGAGGAGGTTTACTCCTTCTAAAATCCCAAAACAAAACCAGAAATCAACAGAATCACCACTGCACACCAGGATGGACACCTGCCTGTGGCAAAATTAGCATCTCAATTCCTTATCAGCAAAACTAGATTCTCATTTCTTTCTCTTAGCAGCCCTATAGCCATTGAGGAAGTGCATGTAAAGTAGTAAAGTAAAAGTAAAGTGAAGTAGGAAGAGATGAAGTATTGCATCTATTTCATCCTCCATGACATTAACCCTCAGGTTTATTACAGAGAAGAAAGACAGGTGTCCTGAATCTACTGGGCATGATTTGTATTTTATGCCTTTGGCCAAATGCAAAATGGCTTTCCTACAGATACACTTTCCTATTTGTTTATATTTTCAGAGCTAGGTATTATTTTTTGGTTTTAAGTGCATGTATTATATAGACATCTCTGTCTGAGAGAGAAATAATCACAGAAGAGACACAGAAGTCCCACAGATAAGCATCTGTGGCAAGGAAAGGTTAATGTTGCAAAGGGAAAGAATATTCTTTTTGTCCCAGAAAGTGCCACGTGTCAAAATTGTTAATATTAAATATAGAAGTGACTCTGTAAACATCCCTGGAAAGGTGAATGACTTTAGCAAGCTGGAAAAAAACTCCAGCATTGCTACCCAAAAAACATCTCCATACCTACATCTGAATCTGTGTACTGGATAGATGCATCAGTACTTGATTAAATCAGAACCAATAACAAGAAAAGGAAGGTCCATTCTAAGACAGTAAATGTGCTTAGGCTGAACCCAGCATTGAGCTGAGACTCTGTTTTAGCATAAACTTGCTCACAAAGCATGGAATAGACACATTTTGGTATCTTTTTTAGACACATGCTTTCCCAACAGTGTCAATATATGCTTTTGACTGGGGTAAAGCATGGGTAGTCTCCATTCCACATGAAACAAGGGTGACATTTAGATTATTTGTCTTTAAGACAAGTTTCATGTTTTTCTGATTAAGATCCTGGTTCTACAAAGCTTCAGAAGGGCTTTTTTTACTGGACAGCAAAAAACGGAGCATGTGGCATTTTTCCATCACTATTGTCAAATACAGGGAAGTTTGAGCAACAACTTTCAAATTGTATACATATAAACTCCTTATTTGGTAAAAACTATTCAGGTCAATGTCATATATTTTTATGGTATCTCAAGAAAATTTGAGTTTGCAGGCTTAGTGTACAATTTGCATGGGGTCTTCTTGGAGCATAATGTCAAAACTTTTGCTACAGTATAATTACTATATAAATTATTTGCCAGAGGGAACCATTTTAATGGGTCACATGGTCCTTCAGTTATTTGCTTGGAGAGATTTTCCAGATTATCCTATAACAAGAGTAGTGAACAAGCAAACTACCAAGTACTTAATTAAATTAGTAAAATATATAATAGGCATTCAAGTATTAAATAAAAACATTGCTCAGTAAAGAAATTAATTCATCTTGTATGGCTTGAAATTACTAAAAAATCCTCTATGAGGTAATAGCAGAATGGGTGTATTATTTTATTGCTGTTAGCAATTCAAATGAAGAGTCATTTTCTTTAGAGAAGACTGCAGATGATTCAAGTCTGAACTTGAGCAGAGTTGCAACCCTGCCTCTAGGACCAGCAGTAGATCCTGTTCTACTTGAGACACTGGGATTTAATAACAAAAGCTGTAAAATGGAATAAACAATGAAAACTCATGTTACAATAAATCTCTTTTGGGAACAGAGAAAGTAAAGTGCCTATGCAGTGAGATGGGGTGAAAACACTTGAAAGTAATTGATTTGAATAAGGTACAGGTTCTGAGGCGAGTGGCTATTGCGGAATAATGACCAATTCAGGTGAGTGCAGCAGTATAACCTGCCTCCACTTGTCACCAAAATGTAAAAATGGGTTATTATCTAAGCATTGGGTCTCGATGACAACATTTGGATTGATATTGGCATACCATAGTAGTGATAAACAGAAGCTCATTGTAATTAAATTATTTATCCTCTTCTGTGGTAGCTCAAGCTGTGTTTACTAATGTTTTTCTACACAGGCAAAATAATTTTTTTTTACACAGGCAAATCTGGCCATAGTCACAGCTATAGCTGTATCACATAGTTGTAGTCACAGCTGCTGTGACAGAGGTTGAAGAAGTGCTGAAAGAATTCCGTGGAAGTCCTGACAACAGAAGGATTTGGCCTGATTCATCTTAAGGAGCTTTATGTCATGGGGGAAGATAATGTAATTGCTCCTTCAATGGAAGGAAGGTTCCTCAGACTGAGGAACTGAGTTGTGGTGCCATGTGTTCTACCACATCACAACTTTTGCTAAATAGTGCTGACAAATACACGTGGAAGAATGTGCTTCATTCTGTGCAAAGATGGTTGCCCACCATCCAAGTATCTTCTTTGTTCCTGAGGGTATGGCCTCTCCAGACAACTTAATCCATGGGGGTTTCTTCCTGTCAAAACTTACTTATATTTTCTACCTTGTGGAATTTACTTGATTTGACAGACTTCTCTCTGCATCCATACTTCAGTATGGGCCATGGTATTACACGTTAATCCTAGCAGTCTTGGTTATGTGGTGTCAGGTGTCTGAGAGGCCCATAATGACAGAACAAAAGAACTTTGGAAAGATGTGTTGAGGAATACATCTGGTACGCATAGCTTGGTTGGCAAGTTGCAGATTGAGATGCAGATTGAGCTCTAGATGGGAACTCAAGAGGAGAGGCAGTGAACTGCTGACCCTTTGCACAACAAAGGGCACCAAGTCTGGTGTTAGCCAGAGGATGAAAGGGGAGCTGTGAAGTGCCAACCTTTTGAATAACAAAGAGCAGCCAGCAGGTACCAGTGCTGCCAACCAGGTGAATGGACTCTGGGAGACACAGCAGGAGCTGAGGACTCAGGAGAAAGAGTGGGACTTGAGCTCACTTGGACTGTGAGGGTGTAAAAGCCCAGGGGTTCCTTTGTTTAGGATCCTCCTCAGAGGCACCAGATCAGGCTGTTTCTGCGCTACTGTGCTGTGAATTAAATTGTCCTGTGGAATGAGACATCTCAGACTCTGCCCTGAGAAGTCTTCTCTGACTGTGAGAGTGGGGTGAGCAGGACTCAAGAAAGGCTCCCAGTGTGTCACTGGAGCCACCTGCTGTGACAGGGCTTTGGTCCCAGCAATGATAGTCTCTGGTGGTGGGAGTGTGACTGCCAGAGCTTCATGAATGGTCAGACTGAGAAGTCTCCTTAATAGCTGTCTGGAAAGCCTCTGAGACATCTGAGTTCCTATTTTGGAAAAATCACCTCTGTATGTCCCATTATACTAATACACAACTAAACATACTCTTCAAAATTTGTTAAGAACAGATAAATTCATCAGATGGGGATGTGCTATGTATCGTGATGGTCTCAAATATTCATCTTGAATTACGCTTTTACAGCCAGCTCAGGCCATACTACTTGGGTCTCCTCCAGGTACATCCTTGGTACTATGAAAAGAGTTGTGTTGTTATTGCACGTCTTCTCTACGTGCCCACTTCTTAGAAAGAAAAGAAGTGGGTTATGGTTACTGCATTCTCAAAAAATTAGAACAGGCTGTAAGCTGAGCATGTTTCATAAGAAGTCTTATCCTATTTTATGTTGCTCCATCCTGCATGTGCACCCACTAGAAACACTGGTACCTCACGTCAGGTCTCTAAAAATAGATATCCACTTCAAATGATAGTATGTCTTTTGTTATAGAAAATTAAAAACACTAACATCTTTGCATTAGGACTTACAAAATTTCAATAGAAGAAGTATTCTGGTTTTTTATTTCTTAGAAGTTTTAGGAAGAAAATCTGAACCCTTTCAACCCACTATTAATTAGGAAAACAAAGCTTGGAAATTACAGAGAAAAGAGCAGCACGTAGGTTTCCAAGCAAGGCTAATGTAATGAACAACGGTTCCATATTCACAGACAGTATTTACTCTTTGGCTCATTGCCATATGGAGGTGAACAGGAATCTCCCCTGGTGTCTGCGACTCACATCTACAGTTCCCCCTCCTGGTCCTTGACTGAAGAAAACTTTTGGGATATGAGAATCCTGGAGGTGCCATCATATTGTACCATGTGAATTGTATGGCCACACATTCCTTCCTTTGTACTTACCATGCTCCCTGTATGATGCAATGACCTTCCTTTTGTGATTCTCTGTATTTATGTGCCTTCACTGTGTTTTCTGCATTACATCACCAATTGAAAATGCTGCCTTTAAATAAGGGTTACATGAAGGAAGTTTCTTGGGCAACAGGCATCTGAATGCAGTTTTTCTCCTCAAACCTGGGATACAAAAAAAAAAAAAAAAAAAAAAAAAATAGGCAAAGAATTAATAAATTCAGTTGAGAATTAATTTTACATGGACTGCAATCTTTATTCCCAGCTGAAATAAATAAATTAATAAACAAACAAACAAATAACTATATTGCACATGGATACTGTGTAAGTTTTTATTTCAAGACAATTAACTATAATGCAATGACAAATTTACAACATGCCTCTTGATCCAGAGTCTTGAGGTGGCATATATGAATCTGTCATGAGTTTTCAAGAAGAAACAGTCAGTACCCAGGAAGGAATAGGAATAAATCAACTGAAATTTGAACATATATATAATTTATCCTGTGTATACCTAAATATCCTTTTAGTAAATTTTGCATTAGCAAACTCCTTCAAGAACTTTTTCTCAGTTCTATTATGTTGGAGTTTGTTTTCTGTGATTTTTCCTTAGAAAGTGAACACCTGCTCTGTGCTGCACCTTTTGCTGAATGGGGTGAAATGATCCCTTGCTCTGCATATGAATTTACCACTGCAAAATACAAGATGGAAAATGTAGCAACACTTTCCCACAACACGTTGAAGGTTATTTCTAAACCTAAAGAACATTGTAATATGTCCCTACATAACTTAACCAGTTGTTATATCCCTTGGATACTCAGTTCAAAGGCAACCTCATTCTCTGAAAAATTAAACTTCTGGATTTCTTTATGCAATATACAACCTCATTTCACCAGATTTTTAATTCTGTGGTGCAACTTGGAGGTAGAAGACTTGGCTCTGTATGTTTTGTACTGATCTTTCTTAAAGAATATACATATATATTTTTATTTATATAAACCATTGATTCTGTAACCATCTAAAAATGCTTTTCCTTTACCACTACAGGTTTTGGAACTAGGTTTTAAGCACTATTACACTGTGGGCCTTGAGTAGAATCAACTATTCTGAAGATTAGGTTGTACTGAAAGAAATCCCGCAAATATTAATTCCATCTTAAACTAAAGTGTTTAAGGGTTTCCTTATCTCTCAAATAAATAGATATCACTCACTTGCCATTTCCATACTCTGAAAATTTCATGTTTTCTGGTGCTGTGATAGATAGCCACTGTGCATTTGAATTTGAGTTTCCACTACATTACTTTCTCAGTTTTCACTGTTCAATTTTTCAGTATATCATAGCAATTTTGTCATCCATGTCTTCTCTGAGGCAACCCCAGGTAATCAAAATATGCTTTATACAATTTTTTCATTGCAGTACTATAGACAGTGAAATGTAACCTTATTTTTGGTAAACTCAGCCTTCCATATAGTATTACAATGTTTATTCCCGAAACCTTTTGTCCCCTGCAGCAGCTCTTTCATTCAGCACTGAGATGACTTAAATTTGGGTGTGGGAGCAGGGTATTATATGTGTATACGATAATTTTTGCAAATAAAATTGTCATATATTTTATAGTTAAGATATACTATTATAAGAAGTTTTTAAAACGCACAAGCCAGAGACAACGGGGATTGCAACACAATATTGAAACCACCTGGACAAAGGAGGGAGGACTCCATTCACAAGCAATTGAACATGGCCAGCCCAGAGATGGATCACCCATCAAGGTGGTCCAAGGAATGATAAATACACAATAAATATCCGAGATTGAGGTAGCCAGAGCCATCAGGGAGATATCTCAATACCGAATTCCGGGAATGTGCTCACGGGTGTTCATCACTCTCCGGACATGTATTGTTCAACTTGCCACAGAGAAATGAACTCCACATGAATACATGCAGTCCAAAAAGGAAGAAAAGGGACTCTGACTCGAGCAAGAAAAATTGTATACAAATCGGCCAGACAGAACAGTGGGTGTTAAATCACAGGAGACCCTCTGCTGCAGCAGTCAAACCTGTGTCTCCCCCAGCACCAACACCCGAGTTCGGCGCTGAATTTTTTTTTTTCTTTTTGATAGTGGCTTCTGGTTTTTTGCTGTTATTCTCTAAATTTATATTTGGTACATTTAATAAATTTTTCTTAAATTAATAAATTGGAGCTTTCATTTATAACAAGAGGAAGGAAAAATCTTTGTGAAGATAACCTTAAATAGCAAGGTTCTTTCTGTATAACGGCCTCTTTCTGTGCTTGGAGTTCAGCTGCTGCTTGCTATTAATATTGTGCTAATAACCTGGGCAGCAAAATAATTCTCTCTCTCAAGAAGCTTGCAAATCTTAATTATCTAGATGGCTTTCCTACAGACTACCTTTGCAATTCATTAAGTGTTACGGTAGTAACTAATTCACTGTACACCACAGTGTTTCGAACAAGACTAATGCACCCAGAATTTTGTTGTCCCTGATGATGTCTCTTTCATTTTTCATCTCCTCCACATTATGTTTTTTATTGTGGCAGTGCCATTGTAATGATTTTCATGTTGTTATAAAGACATTCAGAGGTGCTTACAGTGAAAGGAGTTATTTTCTTCAAGAGGAATATCAGCAACATGTGGTAAGGTTTCATTATCCTGGGGGTATGATTTCCCAGTTCTTTACTCCCCTTTGTTTGGTCTTTTCCTTTCAATGTGCTCTCTTGGAGAACACTTGAACATGTTGCTTGAGTCTAACCATACAGAAGAATCCTTTTAAATTTCTCTTTAACATAAAAAATAGCCTGACAATACTCCTGATCTCAATAGCTTCTTTCCTTTTCACCAGTGTCAGTTATGATGAATTTTGCCTCACCACAGCTGTAAATTTCACATACAGTTGTTTGTGCCTTCAAAACCAGTGTACAAAGTCCTTGCACTATGTTTCATCAGGTCATTCTTCTCCTTTCATTTTTTGGGATCCCCTTTTATCCATTAAACACATTGGGGTTTTGTCTTTGTTACCATGGTCAATAGCCCATCTATGTTCAAAACCACCTCAGAGTAGCTGTTTGATAATAGCTGTTTTCTACAAGATTTTCACTAGGGTCTTTCCACTCGTTTCTGTTTTCCTGCATCTAAAGCACTGATAGAAAGATACAGAAGCTACAAACATCCTACTTGTCCAATGATTACTCCACCCCTTAACTAGAAATTAAATCCCTCCATAGAGGGAAGAATATAGGTGTCTGTGGAAACTGTGGAGGATTGTCTTAAATTGATCATGATAGTGAGTTCAGTAGGAGTCCAGACTTCATCTTGAACAGCAGAAATACATTATTTTTCTGTTTTTGCAACCTCTACTCTGAATACGTGTACAGTGGCAAACCTTCAATAGAGTGATCAGAGCAAACTGTTAGAGCTTGAATGGCCACAGTTGTTTTGCAAAGCCAAGAGAAGGAGTCCTGCTCATTCCTCCTGCGCAAGTATTTGTGCAGCCATGCAGTGAAGTCCATCGTGGAACTAGGTGGCAGGGAGAAATGATCAAAATTGTTATTTTTGATATGCACAGGTTCCTTATTTAGTTCCTAGTAGTTACTAAGCCAACTGTGCTGGAACAAGGGAGTGGGTACCAGTCCTGGGTAACTGTGAGTGGGACTGGTTCTTCTGACAGAAGGACTGGCTTACATCAGCTTAAAGTATTAACTGAACAGTAACTGAAGCAAATGAACCAATCCAGTGCTTTTTGGAAGAGTCTTCAGCTGAGATACAGATAAGTATTTGATAAAAAATAATTGTGTGAATTGAGCAGGAATATTGAAGAAATAATCATTGTAGATTGAGTTGATAAAGCACATATTCCTTACACAAACAGTTCTTGAGCTAGGTCTGAAGAGATTTCCTGTTAAAGGCTTAGTGATGTTTAATAAATGTTGTTCAAATGAGTTGTTGCAGTTCTTGAGAATAGATTGTCTGAATTTCCACTGAAAGATTTTGGCTATTTATGGAAGAGGTTTGAAATGTATTTATTGTCAATATATCCTCTCCTAATTGCCTTGGTACTAATAATGTGTTGCTGGATATATTCAATTTTTTACCACTCCAATGAAATATTGTATTTCCCAGTACTTATTCTCTTAATCACTTATTCACTTATCCCAAAAATTTTTGTAATCAAATAATAGCATTAGAATCAACCAAGCTTTTGTACAGAATATTGTCCACTGACTATGGACACTTAAAAGCCAGTTGTCTTTCCTTCATTATTTTGAGTACAGTTGTTTAACTTCTTTTCTAGTGCTCTTACATGTTTATTCTCTATTCTTCTTTTAACCAGAAAAACCACAGCCAAGTAAAGGATGGGCCTTCATACTTTTGCCTGAATGACTCCACCAATAAATGCCAAATAAGAATGCATAGAGTTTGTAAGAAGAAAAAGAAAAAAAGTCTTTCACTAGGTGCAGGGTCACAATAAATATCCAAAGATTTAACTGTGTTTGTACATAAAACACAGTCAAATTCAGCTTAGCTCATCTTATCTGTATTAAGTCTGTAAGATTCATAAGAATAAACAGTAGAAGACCTGGTTACGTGGACAAGCTCAAAGCTCATTTTACTGCTAGAAGAGGCTATCCAATTAGAAATTTAATCTATTTCTACTTAAGTTCTTTGACTGCTTACGTTTAGTTGATTCTTTCATCTGTTCCTGACCTTTTCAGATAGGAGGTGTGTCTTAGTGAATGTAGCAAGTCGCATACATTTTCTAAGATGCACTTTCTATAATTGCTTGATGATTAATTGCTGAACACACACCTAAGATTCCAAACTGCCTCCCAGTGGTCAGAAAAAAAAATTAGTTTTAAGAACTGCAAACAAATCCTTGTAATACTCTATTCATATCTCCCTTATTAACAGCTATTTCAGAATAGCAAATTGAATATTTCAGGATAAACAATTACTTTAGCAAAGGATGCAAACAGCTCCAATGCAGAGATTTCAATAAGTATTAAAATTCAATTTTTAAAACTTGGTACATTTAAAGGTAGTACAACATCTATAATCATATACTTGTGATATGAGATCATTCACAGATTCTGTCTGTATGGTTCATTAACTTAACCTCAGCAAGCACAATGGTATCATTTCCATGGCTGTATACCCTTCTTGTGTGATTTTTTTGTACC